GGTCAGGGTTAGGGTTAGGTTTAGGTTTAGGGTCAGGGTCAGGGTTAAGGTTAGGGTTAGGTTTAGGGTTAGAGTCAGGGTTAGGGTTAGGGTCAGGGTTAGGGTTAGGATCAGGGTTAGGGTTAGGTTTAGGGTCAGGGTTAGGGTCAGGTTTAGGGTTAGGGTCAGGGTTAGGGTTAGGATCAGGGTTAGGGTTAGGTTTAGGGTCAGGGTTAGGATCAGGGTTAGGGTTAGGTTTAGGTTTAGGGTTAGGGTCAGGGTGGAGGGTCAGGGTTAGGGTTAGGGTGGAGGGTTAGGTTTAGGGTTAGGGTTAGGGTCATTAATGTGGGCCACCATAACATCAGTAACAGGTCAGTTTGAAACCAAAGACACTAACCTGTCAAAATTCTGTTACATTTGCTTTTATCCTTGTGGTATCGAAAATGGTATAGAATATTTTCCTGAGTATCGGTATCCAGTGGAAACTTTGAGTATCGTGACAAACCCCTAACCACTGGTCCTCCTCAGCCCCAGATGTTTACAGACAGATGTTAAAAGAAGGGGGGGTGCTGCAAAATCCCAGCTTTTTAACCCTATGATCATGCTGATCTTTTCCAAAAAATAAGCTCAAATCCACTGAAAATGACCATAAAGAGCCCACACACCTTTCCTTTGGGGATCCTCCCGATGACCTCCTTCCCGCTGGCCATCAGCGCCCCCATGACCACCGAGTAGGCCACCACGCTGAGGGGGGGCAGATCCAGGGTCAGTGGCTGAATAAACCCCCAACTAAGTCCTGCTCACATTTTCTTTATCACACCCAAACCGAGAAGCAAATATAAATCCCCCCCACAACCCGAAAATGGCGAAAATGTGGGGAGACGAGTGTGAACCACACACTCGTCATGTTTTTCAACAAGAGTGGCTGGGGGACGATCTGCTAAAGCTTGTCCGTAAATATCAGGCTTCTAGACAGAGTATGTAGTAACAAATTGACCCTCTAGGGGGCAGTGCCACTTTTGATGGGAGATGAGCATAGACTGTAGGCAAATAAGAAAAAGCTAACGGTTCGCTATGAGAGAACATGTCGCCGGTGAGACGCAAGTCCAGGAAGAACGGAATAAGGTAGAAACTAATTTTTTTTCCTGGTGAAAGGAGAGAGTCTACTCTTTCTTTTGGTGTGTTCGGTGTTTACATAGTCATAGCACAAACTATTCTGTGGCTCTGGAAAAATCAGTCAAAATGCTCAAAAAAACATCATGTTTTTTGGCTTTGCTCTGGTTTGGTTCAATTCTGGGATGATGTGCATTGTACAATTGCAATATTTGGCTACCAAATACCCCAAAACATCCCCAGTGTTGTATCTTGGAAATGTCTCAGAAAATATTTTGTGTAAATCTGACAGGTATTCGTTTAAAATCATGATCGCTGCTAGTAAAAAAACACGAGGTTGCTCGAGGTTTCTGCCTGTTAAAGGGAAGTTTTTCCTTCCCTGTGTCGCCCAGTGCTTGCTCATGGTGGGAATTGTTGGGTTTCTGTAATTATCTTCAGAGTAGGGTCTGACCTGCTCTGTTTGGAAAGCTGGGAGATAACTGTTGTTGTGATGTGGCGCTATATAAATAAAATTGAATTGAATTCACCAAAAAAATGGTACAAAGAAGACCCCCCGAGAAAGAGGACCGGCTGGAAATATTTAAGGACATATATGTCTTGGAGGACTTGACCCAGAGAATAAGACTAAAGATGGACTCCTGAGTGGAAAAATGGACAAAGTGGATTACTTAGTGACTAATTGAACATATGGGGCTTTGTTTACCAGCTCGAGTCAGATCCTAATCTGGAGAGTATATAGTTTTGTTTATGTTGTGTGCCCGTTTGTTTGATTTTGTTTATTTTCACACCTTGTAATTGTTGACAAAGAAAAATAAAGTTTGAAAAAAAAGAAAAAAGTGGTGCTCAGATCTGACTGATTTGGCTCGACTGGGAGATGTTTCCCCCCCTAACCCTCCCCGGTCTGGTTGGTTTGAAAAGCCGGACATTACCTGGACCCCCTGGACAGAGGCATGAGGTTGCAGAAGTAATAAACCAGGGACAGGATCAGGTTGCACACCGCGTCCGAGTCCTGAAAGCAGACAGAATATTTACATTCCACTTTCCTGTGTTCTGTGATATCCGGTAATTTTCCAGCACACCCTTAAGCATTAGCATTAGCATCTCCTGACCCGCAGGTCTGTGTCCTATCTAGGGATGTCCCTATCCAGCTTTTTTTACTTCGGATCAGATCCCGATCCCGGCCTATCAGAGCATGTGTTAAAGTTTAAAGTTATTTATCTACTTACTTAGTTGTCAGACTCATGTTGAACAGGGATTTACTCTGATAACAACTTAATGGTTAGGACACAGACCTGTGGGTTACAGATGCTAATGCTAATGCTAATGTGGGATCAGACTTTTAAAAAAACTGGATCTGGAGTCTGGATCTGCATTTTTATCCACAATGTTTCAGCACTAAACTTCAAATATTTACATTTCCTAATTAAAAAAGAGCTATGTTTTTTTTTTAAACAGGAAAATTTGTGAATTTTCCACTTTTATCCACGATGTTTGATCGCTAAACTAAACAAATATTTACTGCTTTTGGTCAAAGCTGTTAGCCCTGCTGGCTAATACCAGATTCCCAGGAATCTCAAACCCTGATTATATTTGCATTATAAACATATCAGAGCATGTGTTAAAGTTTAAAGTTATTTATCTACTTACTTAGTTGTCAGATTCATGTTGAACAGGGATTTACTCTGATAACAACTTAATGGTTAGGACACAGACCTGTGGGTTAGGAGATGCTAATGCTCGTGTGGGATCAGACTTAAAAAAACTGGATCTGGAGTCTGGATAATTTTCTCCGATACGCAGTTTTTTTGCGAATATCGGCGGTCCGATCCGGTCCAGAAATCGGATCAGGACCGGCCTAGTCTCTGTGATTTTCCCGGTCGTACCCCCAGCTCTGTGGACAGCATCAGGGCCTTCCCCTTGGCCGTGAGGTCTTTGTAGATGGACTCGATCTCCGACTGGTACTGCTGCGTCCGCTCCTCCGTGGTCTGCGTCTCCACGGAGAACAGCATGTTCCCCACCCTGAAACGCAGAGAGAGGAGTGGGTAAGGCTAACCCAGACCCAGAGTGGTGAATTGGGAGAGGGGGGGCGTTGGTACCTGTCTCCTGTGATGGTGATGGTGAAGCCGTCGTACTCCTTCCCGGGGTCCCGGGTGCTGGGCACCTTGGAGTTGACCGTGAAGCCGTCCCTGGTTTTACTGTTGAACTGCTTCAGGAAAAACAAACACAGACGGACCCCCGCCCCGTCCCGCCATCTCACGGCTGAACGCTACCAGAAAAAAAAGATGCTTTCTAGCCTCTGATTTGCTCGCTTACCTTCATTATGGGGAGCAAATCTTCTACTTTATTCACATTTTCAAGGGCCTGCCGGACCTCCAGGAGCCCACGGGGGTTGTAGGCCCTGAGACAGAAAAGGGAAATAAGAACAGAGTTAAAGTTAGAAAGGGGGGAGTCGATGATTTAGGAAAGAATGCTGATGGATGGAGAGTGTCTCAACAACATTTACACACCAAAAGATAAGAATCAGAGGAGATATAGCGAAAATCAAGGTAAAAAAAAGGGCCACATTTTATCAGTTTACTTGGTTTAACAGGAATAAATCGCTGAGATAAGAATAACTTCCTTATTTTCATGAAGAAAAAAGCAAACCAAGATTTTAATCGTGCAAAAAAATGATTGTAAAAACAAAGACATTGGTCATAAATTCCATTAAGCTGCAAAAGTGATTAAATCCATTAAAAGCTGGTGGCGGTTACCCGTGGTAAACCAGTATTCTGTCTTTGATGAAGTCTAGGATGTTGTCGAAGTAGGTCAGGTATCTGATGTTGATAATCTGCCCCCTGGAGAGACAGAGGAACAAAAGCAAACGGGTTTTTGAACGCTGCCTCAGAAGGCTCAAAGGGAAGTTTGTATTTATTTATTTAATCAGGACAGTGCACATTAATGAACAATCTCATACAGATTGTAAATGAGCCAGATTATAGCATAGTTGCTAGTTTACATCTGTCGTCCTGAGGCAGGAAGACCAAACAACACAAAATCACAAAATAAAAAATCAGTCCAAACACACGTTCAGACAATGACATTACAAAATTAAAATTAATTAAATTCAATTTCCTTTATATAGCGCCACATCATAACAACAGTTTTCTCACAGCGCTTTCCAAACAGAGCAGGTCAGACCCTACTCTGAAGTTAATTACAGAAACCCAAGCCTCAGAAACCTCAAAGAGGAGAAAAGCCTAAAAAGACCCCGTCCTCGGGGGGGAAACTGGTCACCTGATCAGGTTGATGTGGTTGTTGAAGCCTCTGCTGAGGCTTCTCGCCGGCATCTGGTCCAACCACAGAACCGGCTGGTCCGGGTCCGCGATCCTGCCGGCAGGGTAAAAACCTGTTAGGCCCGTTAGAGGAAAAACCGGAGCAACTGGGAAACTACAGCCGACAGCTTTAAGTCTGCGCCTTCTCAGTTCTCTCGGGAAAATTTAGACTTCTTAGGCTCCTCTCAAAGTAAAAAGAGAGAACGGCTGAATGTCAGTCTGCTTCTCGTCTTTCAACATCTGACTGGCGATTCGATAAAACATTTTAAAGGAGACATATTATACCCTATTTCAACAAGTTAAGCTAGTTCCCTGGTGTCCTAATGTAATGTCTGTGACAAGCTTTGGTCAAAACCCCATAAGGATGAAGCCCAATAGCAGTTCAGTCCCCCTGCCTAACCCTAACCCTAACCCTAACCCTAACCCAAAACAGCCCCGTTCAGAGCGCTCGCTTTGGAGTGCCTGTCTCTTTAAATGCAAAAGAGACACAGGCAATCCACCCACTTCTTCAGGGAGGTGTGTCCACGTCGGCACGCTAACGCTAGCATGCTAACGCTACCATGCTAACGCTACCATGCTAACGCTCACGCTACCACGACGTCTGCCACAGAATAGCATGGATACATGCTATTCTGTGGCATGTATAATATTATAATGAGCTAGAGCTAATGACGTCAGAAACTACCCACTCCTGAAACCTCCTGATTTATCTCCTGGATTCAGACTGAGGCGGCCCACAAAAACATGACTGAGTCATTTTTTTTCACACTTTGCCTGCTGATAGGCCCTCCACAGTCCCAAATGTACATAATCAAATGATTAAAAACTTGGTTTTGCATAATATGT